GAATCAAGTCCTATTGGTGGGCTGGTTGAACACCATATAGGTCCACAAAGAGACAGGAGATAAATTAGAAACAAACATATAAAATCTTCACCAGCGTTAGAAACAAACAAAAAATTCTGCAACACTAAAACAAAATCTTCCTTTCGAAACCACAGCAGCCACCTTTGTGTTCCCTGTGATGACTCAGAGACCCGGTGGACCTGTTTCCAGCTGAGCAGGAGATGCCAGCCGGTTGCCGAGGAGACGGACCAGCCTCAAGGGAGTCCGGCTGGCTCCGGCTGTTTGTGGACACTCGTCTCTCTGAAGGAAAAATGTTTGAAAGAGACTCGGGACAAAGAACAAAGTAAAGCTGCTGCTGAAAAGCCTGTTGGGTATTTGCTCATAAAATCAACAGGAGTAAATATAACCACTCTATTCTATGCTACAAGTCATTTATAAACTAATTACACAATAAAAAAACCAGACTTTATATGACAATTCATCCGCTCTTAAACATTAAAGGATCAAACGAGGGTGCGTTTGGTTTCCGTTTCTTCTTTTTGCCTCTGCACAGGGTGTCAGTGTTTGAAGGAAACAAAGCCACCGTCTGCAGCTGACTGATGAGCCGAGTGTTCATCATCAAACAAAGATGCAGTTTGTTGTGGCATAAACAGCCCCTTTTCTCCAACACAAGGTGGGCGGAGAGAGGTCAAAGGTGACAGAAATGGACAAAGTCATGTGTATAAGTCAGCACATTGTGGAGATTACCGGCACAATCGCTGGGTTTATCTGCTCCGTCATGATGATCGCAAATCAAATGTTTATCGAGAAACTAGAAGCAAATGGTGCCTGGTGCAACGGGACAGAGTTTCAGCCTTTATTGTGTTCGTTGTTATAGATTTTAGGAAAGCGGTGTGAGTTCTCTTCAGGCAGCGTGAGGACACCCGTCAGGCCAAGCTGAGCTCTTCATTAACATGCACAGTCGGCCGCTTCCTGTAGAACAAGCCTTTGTGGCTCAGCAGACGCTCTAATACGTCCAGAAGGTCTGGAACAAAACAGCAGCACAGAGAAAACACTGACGGTCAAACACACAAAGGTTTAACCCGAAGACAAAAATAATTATAAAGTCAGGTCCTCCAAAAGAGTTCCTCAGACTGAGCAAGTCTTTTGGATCAAAGACGAAACGTTTCATGAAGAAAAATCCATCCAGAGGACCTGACTTTATTCTTTTTTGTTTTAGATTTTTCCATCTGGATTATTCAGCATGCGTCAGGATACAGAAGTTTAGCCCTTTTCTTGTTATGAAAGTTAACATTATTTAAAGTTGCAAAGAAGACGCAGTCGGGACACATCACGTCACATTTTAGACATAATTTATCATATCATATTTTATACCATATAATATAACATATCATAAAATATATCACATCATTTATCATATCATATATTATACCATATAATATAACATATCATAAAATATATCACATCATTTATCATATCATATATTATACCATATAATATAACATATCATAAAATATATCACAACATTTATCATATAATATATTATATCATATATCATATCATATATAATATCATATATATTATCATAATATAATATATCATACATAATATCATATCATAAAATATATCACATCATTTACCATATCATATATAATACCATATCATATATCTTATAATATATCATATATCATATCATATATCTTATAATATATCATATATCATATCATATATCATATCATATATCATATCATATATCATATCAAATATCATATCATATATCATATCATATATCATATCATATATCATATCATATATCATATCAAATATCATATCATATAATATATAGTATCATATATCATATCATAAAATATATCATATCATATATAATATCATATATATTATCAAAATATCACATCATTTTTATATTAGATATCATATATAATATATCATATCATATATATCGTATCATAAAATATATCACATCATTTACCATATCATATATAATACCATATCATATATCATATCATATCATATATCTTATAATATATCATATCAAATATCATATCAAATATCATATCATATATCATATCATATATCATATATCATATCATTTATCATATCAAATATCATATCATATATCATATATCATATCAAATATCATATCAAATATCATATCAAATATCATATCATATACAGTATCTTATAATATATCATATATCATATCATATCATATATCATATCATATATCATATCAAATATATCATATATCATATCATATATCATATCATATATCATATGAAATATCATATCATATATAATATACAGTATCTTATAACATATCATATATCATATCATATATCATATCATATATCATATATCATATATCATATATCATATATCATATATCATATATCATATATCATATATCATATCATATATCATATCATATCATATATCATATTCATATACCTTTTCTTCATTCAACCCTTATTTTATTTTGGGGGCAGCTGCGGCTGAGTGGTTAGAGCAGTCGTCCTCCAATGCGAGAGTTGGGGGTTCGAATCCACCAGCAGTCAAATGTCGAAATGTCCCTGGGCAAGACGCTGAACCTAGCCTAGCTGAACCCTTCACAGCCTCTGATGTGTGTCCCATCAGTGTATGGATGTGATAAAGCTCTGATTAGTCTCTTTAGAACGATTTGTTCAATTAGCTTTGTAGAGATCTAGTAGAGTGCTGTATGAATGGGTAAATGAGGACACAGATTGTAGAGTAAAGCGCTTTGAGTATCTTGAAACAAGATAGAAAGGCGCTATATAAGTACAGTCCATTTACCATTTACCATATTTATACAGTTTAATCCCACTGAGCCTCAGGGACTCATTTACACGAGAGACCTGATTTTAACAAAGAGTGATGACAACAGTAACGACAACAATATGCAGTCACAAAAGACGCATACACATTTTTTTGTTACAAATCAAAACAAAATAGCAACCGAAAGGACAGTCAAAAGGAAAAGTAGAGAAACAAAAGAAAGAAAGAAAGAAAGAAAGAAAGAAAGAAAGAAAGAAAGAAAGAAAAACAGCTAGGTTGTAAGGCGGTGTAGAAAACTAAAAACAGGAACATGTCTGCATTATTTCTTATCATGAACTTAACAGATGTTTGAAGCCACTTAGAGAGGTCAAGGTCGAGAGCTTCAGATCTTTTTGCAAGATATTCCAGGAAACAGGAGTGGAGTAGAAGAAGGAGCTTTTGCCAAGTTCAGTTCTCACTGAGGGAACACTGCAGGTAATAATGTCCTGAGAGTGCATGCTGTAACTGCACTCACGCAGAGACATGTAGGAGGAGATGTATGAAGGCAGCAGACCAAGAAGTGATTTAAAGATGAAAATGTACCAGTGGAAGAGTCTGCATGAAGTTAATGATGCCAAGTTAATCAGTGAATACAGGGTGCAGTGGTGGGTATGGTAGTTACAGCCAGTTATGAATCTTAGTGCACCGTGATACACAGCATCCAACATCTGCAAGGTGCTTGTAGGAGCATTCATATAGATAATGTCACCGTAGTCAATGGAGGGAAGGAAAGTCACAGTTACAAGGTGTTTCCTAACATTCAGAGTTAGACAGGATTTGTTTCTGAAAAAGAAACCCAGTTTAACTTTCAGTTTCCTGCGATGTGAGTCGACCAAGATACCCAAATATATGTAGGAATCAACAAACTCAATAGGGACACCATTTGAGGATAAAATCAGAGGAAGAACTGCTGGGACTGACTTCCTGTTTGAAAAAAAGCATCCCTTTGGTTTTATCGGCATTTAGGACAAGTTTGAGACGAAACAAATCTGACTGGATGATGTCAAAGGCGGATTGCAAAAGCTGGAAAGCCTTAGCAACTGTTTGAGCTCGACAATAAACAACTGTGTCATCAGCATAAAAATGTAAGGATGCCTCAGGTCTGCTCTGACCTACAAAGTACATTACCTATGTAGATTGTAAAGGGGGTGGGTCCCAAGACTGAGCCTTGTGGTACACCATTGTTGACTGTTAAATAATGGGAGGAAATACCGTTATGTTAAACACATTGCCTCCGATCTGAAAGATACTTAGCGAACCAACCAGTTGTATGATCTGAGATCACATCATGTATCATATCATATTATATCATATCATATATATTACCATAATATCATGTCATATATTATATATAATTTAATATGATATGTCACATGTCACATCATATATCACGCCATTTAGCATCTCATATATCATATATTATAACGTATCATTTGTTAATTCATATCATATGTCAGATCCTCATCATCTACATTTCATCATATCATCAAAAGGTTTCAATAAACTGGAGAAATCAAACACTGAGAATTCATTTTTGACGGTCCTGATCGGCGAGCCATTAGTGTCCACTGCATGAAAACGAGGTCTAATTCTGTTAAAAACATCCCTGTGTCTTTAATTACAGTTTGCGGTGCTGCTCACAGAAGCAGATTAAAGCTCTATCATGCAAAGGACTCATATGTGGACTCCATCCAGATGTTTTATCTGGACCAAATCTGGAAATTATTTTTGAAAACCACTCGTCAGAGAGAATGGGTGCACAGTAGTGCCTCTGGAATGGGCAACACATCTGGAACGACGTCATCAATGCAAAAAATAATTAACAGACAACATTTGCTCTCATCCTAATAGTGTCTTTTTCTCAATAGTTTACTCACAAAGTGAAATAACCGCGACAAAAAACGGGACATAACTCGCATTGTCAATAATAATAATTGGAAAAAGTCAAGTATGGTAGCTGCTCTGATTTGTTACTTGCCTGTAAAGGTGGAAATTGATGTGTGTGTCTGTGCAGTGATGTGGTGGAGTGAAGGGAGGTGGTCTGAGAGGATTGGTCAGCAGTTTGACGGACAACATGGCTGACCAGCTCCTCCTCACTCCACTGCCCTGCAGCAGTATAAAGGCTGCAGCCTAAAGCGTCAGAAAACACCAAGCCTGCTCCCATTTACAGCACGGTAAGAACACCGGACTTTTATTTGAGCTGAATAAACCTTTAATTTGTTTTTCTCTGTTCGGATGATGCTGACTGAACAGCGTCTGAATGTAAAATATATAGAATCAGAGGTTTTATTCACTTATTAACAAGCATAGCTACAAGTATAGTTGGATTTAGGAAGTAGATTTAGGTTTGAGTACTTTTTATTTGGTGATGCTGTTTCTTTTTTACTTAACGTTTTTTTTTTTTTTTTTATAACTAAATGTGTGACACTTCTAAATTTTCTTTTTAACCTGAATCAATTGTTTAGTAAATGATACTTTGTAAAAGCAACAATTGTGGCAGCATAGTCAAAGTCATTCTAACAGTTTACCATATTGCATCACCGTCATCGTCCATCCATCCATCCATTATCGTTTACCCGCTTCTTCCATTTTGGGTCACTGGGGTCACTGGTGTCCAAGTCCAGCAATCACTGTACGAGGGGTGGGGTACACCCTGGACAGGTCTCCAGTCCATCGCAGTGACAAACAAGACAAACAACCATTTACTCTCTCACTCACGGGGACAATTTAAAGTTACCAATCAGCCGCACATGGATGTTTAGAAAGGTCCCATGCTGGGATTTGAACCGGCAACCTTTTCGCTGAGAGGCAATTGCTCTACCAACTGCGCCACCGTGCCGCCCATCTAATAACTGTTATAGTGTATATCTCAGATCTCATCTAATCTCATATCAAAAATGTTATTTATAATTTGTCACATTATTTGTACAGTAGTCCCTCGCTACTCAGCGGTTCGACTTTCGTGGTTTTTCAAAGTAAGATTGGACATGACACACAATTGGCTGATTGACGGATGAGCCGCACAATCGGCATGGAAATTATATTGAAAATAAACTGTTTTAAATTATTTTGCACCTGCTGCACCTGCGTGCAGCCCACAGCTGCAGGAGAAGCTTCCTCCTGCAGCATGTCAGGATCTCTGCTCTGCAGCCGAGAAGTGGGCGTGGCCGAAAGTGTTGGAGGGTGGCAGAGAGCAAAGATCATGACATGCTGTGCTCTTTTAGAGCGTTTAGAATTTAGAAACACTGTTTAGAAAATTGCAAGAGTGTTTAAAACACCTTTATATATATATATATATATATATATATATATATATATATGTATACATAGCACGGTGGCGCAACTGGTAGAGCTGCTGCCTCTCAGCGAGCATGTCCCTGGTTCAAATCCCAGTCCGGGGGCCTTTCTGGGTGGAGTTTGCATGTTCTCTCCGTACATGCGTGGGTTTTCTCCGGGTACTCCGGTTTCCTCCCACAGACCAAAAACATGCATGTTAGGCTGATTGGTAACTCAAAATTGTCTCTAGGTGTGAATGAGAGAGTGAATGTCTCGCTTGTCTCGACGTGTCCCTGTGATGGACTGGAGACCCGTCCAGGGTGTACCCCGCCCCTGGCACAGTGATTGCCGGACATGGGCACTGGCGACCCCCGTGACCCAAAAATGGAAATAGCGGGTAAAAGATGGATGGATGGATATATATACATATATATACACACACACATATATACTGTACTTTTCGCTGTATAAGTCGCACCTTTTTGCATAAATTTGCAAGCACTACAACTTGTGCACCGAAGTTGTTAATACACATTTTCCCCATATTTATAACCCAATTTTTGGCTGAGATCTGATGATTTCATTCATTTTGACATGGAAAATATTGAACACTACCATTTTCAGCCACTAGAGGGCTCTCAACCTAATGAGGCAAGACATGAGTCTCATTAATAGGTAAAAGTGGCTATTAATGAAACACTTGGCTTGCCATACCAAACCACCTTCGTCTCGTTTTCGAACTCCTGGAGCAAACATCAAATCAGCTGCTTGTAGCCGCGCGGCCCAGGCGAAATGCAGCTGATTTGACCATTAAAGTGAATTTATTAAGGAAAAGTTCGACTGAGACACACCTTTACTATAACTTCAAGCAAACATATAATTATTTTTAAGTGTTAATATTGTTAAATTCTTGTTAAAGTCCTCCCGTGCACACTCCTGCCATTTGTCAGCGAAACAACTTTTGTCACAACACCGGCCCATGTTTCCGGGGTGGTGAGAGGTGACGCATAATAGTTGCGACTTAAACGGCAAAGTGACTTATTTATGTTTTATTTTCCACTTTATTAGACATTTTTGGACTGATGCGACTTATATGGCGGAAAACACGGTATATATAAATACTAAAATAAACCACTACTTACTTGTACTACTATTCCTACTTGGCGGTTTTTCACTTATCGCGGGGGTCTGAGAACGGACTCCTCTGCGATAAACAAGGGACTCATTTAATGTATTATCATCCAGTCTCATATTTTCTCTCATATCATCTTTTTTCCTGATATTAAAAAACTGAAGTATTTTACAAGAGTTTGTCATTTTAGAATACGAGTTCGTTTTTAAAAAAAATCTCTTTTCTATTCGAAGCTGAGGCCATAAAGACCGAAGACAATGAGTGACCTGGAGACTGCGATGGCGACCATCATTGCAGTGTTTCAGAAATACTCCGAGAGAGAAGGAGACAAGCACAAACTGAAGAAGAGCGAGCTGAAGGACCTGCTTCACGACGAGCTGCCTGATCTGATGGCGGTGAGACAAACCGAGAGTTAGCAGACAAAACTACGAGCATGATTACGTTTTTTTTTTTTTCCATCATTCGCAGTTCATTTCTGAACGATAATAAAAAAAAATCTGATCTGGTCGGTTGTTCGTCCAGCACGTGAAGGACCAGTCCACCCTGGACAGCCTGATGGAGGGCCTCGACGCCGACGGAGACTCGGAGTGCAACTTCCAAGAGTTCATGACGTTCGTCTCCGTGGTTACCGTTTGTTGCCACGAGTTCTTCGAGCACGAGGACGACTGAGGACGCGAGGACAAAAAGTGGGGGAGCGCTAAAGGAGCAGATGCCTGGCAACACAGACGCCGAGCGCAAACAGAAACACAAACGCTGCCAGTAACCCCAGTTACACGTCGTCTTCTAGCTGATCCTAACATCTGAGAAAGTTTCTTCACTGGCGGCAAAAAATAAACACGTTAAAGGTGGATTTAAAGTTCGCCTAGCATAGAAAGTATTATAATCAGCTAATTTAGAGTCAAACAGCTTCTTGACAAACTTCTTACGGCGTAAAAATACTCCATTGGAGAGTAAATCCTTCAAAACTGCTCCTCCCCCAATTGAGCTGACAGCATTAAAATACATAAACACTTTAAGAGTCATATTTTGATTCCAAAGTTTGCGAAAACTGAAAGTGAGGAAAGTGGTTTGAGGATTTCTTTGATGGAACAATGCTTCTAAACGGTTTATTACCCCTCAAAGCGTGCCACATTTAATAGGAAAATACATCTGTAGGTAGAGCAGCAGAGTTCCTTATGTGGGTGAATCTATGAAAAATGGACCAAATCTCTTATTCTGCTGTTGACTCTTGTTAGGCGTCATTTATTAGACGGGACGATCCAAGTCTAAAAACAAATGAAACAAGACGTATTGGAAATTTAGCATTATAGTTATTTAACAGGCCAAAGTAGCATGCGGAAGAACCATATACAGCCACCACAGCCTCAGTCAATAGCAGATTAAGTTGTTTGGGAGAAGTTTTGCTGCTCAGCCCACAAATACATTTTTTGGTAAACGAACTTCCAACTGTTTAAATTTTTTTCCCCAAGAGTTTTTGTTACGGCAAAGAAATAACGAACCGTATGCAAATTTCATTGCGCTTTTGTTCTATGTAAAGAAGCATTTCTACGAAAGTTTGGTTTTTTTTTTTTTTTTTTACCCTCTGGTGGATATAAAGTTTATCTGGATAAAAATTGTGTCTTAAATTGCTGCCATCTTTAAAAGTTATTGGTCATTTTTCTTTAAAAGAAGTAGGACTAGCCACTAGCGATGCACGATATTGGATTTTTGGCCGATATGCCAAAATGTTAAAACTTATTTGATACCAATACTGATATTTTCCCCCTAGACCTACTTACAGAGACTACATAGCTTTCTCTTTTTATATTGGTGAGTTAATTTGATGGAGTGGCCGATGTCCGATATTTACCTTTATCGCTGATATCGTCCGATACCGATACTATGCCGATAATATCGTGCATCCCTACTAGCCACCTTTTAAAGCAACATTAATATATATATATATATATATATATATATATATATATATATATATATATATATATATATATATATATATATATATATATATCTTTTTGTTGTTTGAGTAATTAATAATCTGACAGCTGCTGAAAGTTTCTGTTGGAGAAAATTAATAAAAATTATAAAATTTATTGTTTTCTCATTGACAGTTTTTAGTTGTAAATGTTCCTTTTGTAAAAGTAAGTAAAAAAAAAGTTTGTTCCTAAAAATAAAAGTAAACAAATGTTTACAAGTTTATTGCCTGTTGTTGACACAACAATTTACGGATTTGAGCTGAAGACGATCTGATTTATTTTAAGCTGCTTGTTTTTCACTTTAGCGTCATCTAAAGTTTGTAAAATGACTGACATGTTGTTATTTTTCATTTTAAAACCTGATTCACTTTTTTTATTAACAAATACAATTTTTATTTTATAGTTCATAATCAGCAAGATTAATCTGAAAATAACCTTTAGATTCAGAAAATGTTTGAATTTTGGTGAAATTAAATTGGATGAATGAATCAAATCATGAGTCAGAGTTATTTTTTTCCCCCTAGTTAAAAAATAAAACACACATTTTGAAATGAAATAAAGAAACTGGGTTAGTGAATTATTTTTATTCTACTAAAATAAAACAGCTCTCCTAAATATTATATTTTCACTTTTGGTTATAAATTTAATTTACATTTCAGGTTAAATATTAAGTCAGTGACTCACATTAATCACAAAATGTACTTAACTTTTTCTAAAAAAAATTAAAATATATTTTATTTCTAGCAGAATTCACCTAAATATTAAACCTGAAATTTTAAACCTGTCTGAAAAAGTTTATTCAGTCTTTTTTTTCTTTTATTTAACCAAAAAGGCTTTTTGACTAAATAAATAAATAAAATAATAAAGACATTTCTCCCATTTTTTTTTTATGTTTTTCAAGCATTTTTCAGGGCAAATAAATGTTTAAAAATAAATTTAAAAAAGAAGTTTGGGATAATAAAGATAATTTGCAATGGGATTTATTGGAAATCAAAAGCTTGAAAATTATTCAAAAATATTTTTAAAATCAAACATACTGCTAGAAATAAAACATATTTTAAAAAAGTGAGAAAAAGTTAAGTGTTTTTTGTGATTAACGTTATTTCACCTGAAATGTAAATAAATAAAAAAAATCTATCTTAAAATTATGATAAATGAAAGCAGAAGGCTCAGCACTGCCACCTGCTGGACTGTTTAAAGAGCTACAGCGATGAAGATGGGAAAAGACAACAGGACAAAAGGACAATTGGACCAAAGCACGACAGGGCCAAAAAAGACAGAAGGACATCAGGACAGAAGAACAGGAAAACAGGACAAAAGGACAATTGGACTGAAGCATGACAGGGCCAAAAAAGACAGAAGGACATTAGGACAGAATAACAGGAAAACAGGACAAAAGGATGCCAGGACAGAAACTCAAGCATAACAAGACAGAAGGACAAATCAATTCAGTTCAGTTTATTTATATAGTGGCAAGTCACAACCAAAGTCATCTCAGAGCGCCGTACTTGTCGCTGTACAAGATAACCACCTAAAACAATTATTTGTTTGCTCGACATTATAGTAAAGGTGTGTCTCAGTTGAACTTTTCCTTAATAAATGCACTTTGACGGTCAAATCAGCTGCATTTCGCCTGGGCGGCGTGGCAAAATGCAGCTGATTTAATGTTTGCTCCAGGAGTTGAAGGTGGCTTCTAAGGCAAACCTATCGTCTCATTAATAGCCACTTTTAACTATTAATGAGACACCTGGCTTGCCATATTAGTCGAGGGCCCTCTAGTGGCTGAAAATGGTAGTGTTCAATATTTTCCATGTCAGAATGAATGAAATTGTCAGATCTCAACCAAAAATTGGTTTATATATATATATATATATATATATATGGGGAAAAAAAAACAAAAAAACGATGCTTCGCTGTATAAGTCGCAGGCTTGCTAATTTATGCAAAAAACTACGACTTATACAGCAAAAGATGCGGTACATAAAAATTAAATTAGTAACATTATCTATCTATGGGAGGGTACCAGCAGATTGCAATGAGTCTTCACTTGGTCGCAGTCTCCCATCTTGAGTAAGCACAAAGGCAACAGTGGAAAAGAAAAACTTCCTCATAACAGGAAGAAACCTTTAGCTGAACCAGACTCAGGACAAGAGGCCATCTGCTTCGACCGGCTGGGTTTGAGAGGAACAGGAAGGAGAAACGGACACAGAATGGCAGGTCCAGAATGGAGGCGAGCAGGTAGGCAGGGTCTTTCTATAGGAGGAAAGACAAAAAGAAACATGTGGATAGAAATAATAAACACAAACTATTGATTTGTATCCATTTGTAACCATTCATTTGAGGAAATGAGGTAAATTTGTCCTCCAGTAGTCTAAGCCTATAGCAGCATAACTAAGGGAAAGCTCAAGAAACCCAAGCCAACCCCTAATAAAGGATTTATCACAAAGAAAAGACGTAAGCTTAAGCCAACGATGTTCAGTCAGGTTATATGGACGGTTTCCTTAATTTTTTTGTTGACAGACGTTTCGCCCTTCATCCGAAGAGCTTCAGCAAACAATGAAGCTAATTGTCAATCAATGATGATGAAGGACATAACGTCTTTCAACAAAAAAATAAAAAAAGAAAGAAACTGTCCAGAAGACCTCACTGAACATTGTTGGATTTTTTTTTAATTTTTTTACCTGGATTACTGAGCATGAACTTTGATGGCTTAAGCCTAATCCAATAATTCTCAGTCAGGTCATCTGGCCAGTTTCTTTTTTTATACAGACGTTTCACCCTCTATCCAGAGGGCTTCATCAGTCAGAGGAGTTCCAGTGAATTGTTTCCCCACCAAGCAGTAAACTCCTTAAGTGGACCATCCAGTTTACTGGAGCTAAGATGGTTTCTGGGGGCCGTCATGTCCCCCGTCGACACCTCCCAGGCAGGCAGCCACAGCCAAAGTGGTTCAAGGCAACAAAGTTCATGCTCAATCATCACCAGAAACCGTCTTAGCTCCAGCAAACTAGTTGGTCCACTTAAGGAGTTTACTGCTTGGTGGGGAAACAATTCACTGGAACTCCTCTGACTGATGAAGCCCTCTGGATAGAGGGTGAAACATCTCTATAAAAAAGAAACTGTCCAGATGACCTGACTGATAATTATTGGATTTGGTACCTGGATGATTGAGCATGAACTTTGTTGACTTAAGCCTAATCTTAAAACTGGACAATGTGTCAGCCTCATGGACAGCAACTGGAAGTTGCTTCCACAAGAGAGGAGCCTGATAACTGAAAGATCTTCCTCCCATTCTGCTTTTGGAAACCCTAGGAACCACAAGTAAACCTGCAGACTAAGAGTGAAGTGCTCTGTTAAGAAAATATGGAACAATAAGATCTCTAATGTAAGATGGAGCTAGGTTGTTGATGGCTTTGTAGATTCCAAGAGGGCAGAATCGCAACAAGACAAAATGATAGAAGGACGGGGATTAGAGCTCAGAGAAGAAGGAAAGCAGATCTAAACATTTCAGAACAAAACAAAAAGTGGACATTTCATGCTGTGAAGTTTCTTCCTGAGCTGATTTGAGTCAATGACGCTGCTGCTGTTTGATCACCTGCTGTCTAATTTCTTTCAGGGGCTGAAAAACACAAGCATGCTACCAGAAAACAGCCAGGATGCACATCAATGAGAAGTCCGAGGATTGTTGATGAAGCTGGGCTCACAGCTGCAGACATTCAGCTGCAGGCTGCTGAGCAATGTGGAGGCGGAGTCAGCTGTGATTGGCCAGGCGGTGGGACCAGATCTGGGCCCCGGGGACGGACACCACCCATCAGTTTGACTGTTATCCAGCTCACGCTCTGTTCTGCTGTTCCTTCTCCCTTCTTCTTCTTTCAGGAGGTCACAGAGCTGCAGAACACGTAAGTTTCCATTTTCTCCTCGTTTCACACCATTTGCTTTTATTTAGTTATTTATTTTGCATAAAGCAAAAAGTTAGTTTGCGTTTGCTCAATCATATCACAAAGAATTGTTCTGTATTTTTTTAAAGTGCTATTTGTACACAATCTCGTTCCACCACGTGTACCACATGGGATGTGAATGACAAATAAAGAACCTTGAATCCTTGAAGTAAGCTGTTAATAAAGTAATAAATCTCTCCAAATGTGTTCATTTTACCAGCTAAGTCCCCTTTTTAATCTTTAAAACAACATCGAGACTTAAAATGAACAAAAGCAACGACAAAAACGAGAATAAAAGCCGATCGGAAAACTCATCACATCGTTGTTGTTTTGTCCACATTGTGAGTCAGAACGCAAAAAAAACAACAAGTTTTTAGTGTTTTTAAGGCAGCCATAAAAGATCTGCAGTTAAACTGATTTTCATTTAATAAAGAAGGAACCATCCTATCTATAACCCATTATAGAAATCCTGTTGTTCATGTCTTTTCTTGCAGAGGTCAACATGGACGCCCACACGACTCCTGCACCAGCAACTCAAACGTCGACTGAAACGTTCCCAACGTTTCCAGGCCTGGTGACCAGGATTGGGAAGAGAGGCGAGTATAAGGATTCCTAATGTCTAACGACAAACTGACATCTCTGCAACGCATTTAATTTGACGAGAAACGACAGAAAAGTCGTTACAGCTCATATTTATTACCGTATTTTTCGGACTATAAGGCGCACTTAAAATTCTTGAATTTTCTCAAAAATTGACAGCGAGCCTTATAATCCGACATTAATTCTGGTGGTGTTTGCTGACCCCGAACTGATTTTATGTGTTACACGGTGCTCAAAAAATCTGTCAAAATGAACTCGTTTCGCTTAATGCGCCTTATAGTCCGAGAAATACGGTAGAAGGAAGCTTCCGTTGTTTTATTAAAATGAAGACAACAGGGTTTAACGTCCTGAAACAAGACAGATTGTCCTCTTTCGTTGGTGAGATTTTACAAATTAAAACATAAAACTGATCTGGATTAACTAATCATCATCTGTTGGATCACCTATAGAAAAGCTCTACAGCATACAGGCGTTAACACAACGTCAGGGCAGAAAGACATCAGCAATGACTCGATGGTCATTTTTCAACTATTTCAAGTTTATCATTTTACAGATTACAAACATTTTTCACAAGTGGGAAAACGTTTAAGACAGCAGTCAATCGTCCCAGGAGTGGCGGTAAAGTCACCCTGAAGGTCAGACTGTGCAATGCTCAAACAAATGAGCTCCATCTTGGGCTCTACAGGCCTCAGTTAACTGGTTAAAGATTAAATCCAGCACAGTTACAAATCCCACTTTAAAACAAATAAGTTTACCGTACGAAAATACATTCCCGGAGTCATTGACACTCTCTTGTGTCTCGCCTTCGCTCTGCCTCTTTGAAACAATCTGAAGCTGCCGAGAGGACCAAATGCGCTCATCGTCATAGCAACAGGTTAAAGATTAAAGGTCATGGCTGGGTGGTTTGTTGAGAAAGGTGCGCAGAAGAAAGTCTCTTCTCTCTAAAATCAAGATGACTGTACGTATTAACAAGACTTCTGGAACAGAAACAAACCAAAGTAGAGATAGTTACCCATCATGCACAGCAGAAAACACCTCATGGTCATACATGGTCTGGCATACATGTCAGCATGGTGGTGGGGGGTTGATGGTTTGGGCTCCTTGCAGTTATTGAGTCCACCATGAACTCCTCTGCAGACCAAAGGATTCTGAGTCCGACGTGAGGATATCTATCCAACAGCTGAAGCTCGGATCAAACTGGGTCAAGATGCAACAGGACAATGATCCCAAACACAAATTCTAATCTAGAAAAGTAAAATGGAACGACTAAAAAAGAACAGTCCAGATAAGAACCCCAACCTGACCCCAACCCCAGCTAGGCCTGTCGCGATAACAAATTTTGCTGGACGATTAATTGTCTCAGAAATTATTGCGATAAACGATAATATTGTTTGGAGACCGTTTTAAACTAATGCAATGATAATGACATCATAATGCAAGTACATCCTCTCAAAGAGGAATAAACTTTAATTTCAAAAGAACACTTAAAACTGGAACACAAAATAAACTAAAATGTTGGGGTCCCCAACCACAACCGTGAGAGAGACTGATCCAAAAACCACTTCTCGGAGTTCTTGCTACAGGAAGTTCTAAAAGCTGCCGGGTCAGGGGCTGGAACCTGTTCCTGTACAATAAATCATGACTTGGTGGAATAAGATGTATGTTTTAGATCACATATGATGACATTTAAATTATTTTAGAACTTGGTAAACCCAGTTAAAAGACAAATGAGTGGGGGTTTTGTTCCCCATGACTTTGTACTCTCTATATGTTGGATTTGACAGCATTGCCTAAAAACAATTAAATTATGTTTATCTTAAAAAATAGAAACACTAAATAGACTGTGGTATATAGAATCATAGAAGTGGAACAAATAAAAAAAATATAGATACTACGCCAACCTGTGTGCACTCGAGCTTTTTATGGGAATAAAGATTTTAAATTAGAATCGTTGACCCATTTTGTGGCCCACTTTGGCAAATTTAGGTTATTTCAGCTGACGCTACCTGATCTGTCCAATATTTATGCTTTCGCTTCAGCTAGAATGCACTGGTTTTATCTACATTTTCTCTTTTTTGTGGGAGTTTTATGATATTCAGTTTAAATCTGCTCAAAAATTGATGATAAAATGGTAAATGGTAAATGGAGCTTACTTCTATAGCGCCTTCCAGCCCCCTATGAGGGGCCCCAAGGCGCTTTACAGTACCAGCCATCCACCCATTCACACGCACATTCATACACCGGTGGCGGTAAACTTTCCATTTCCCCCAAACTTTTCATAATAAAAGCAAAAAATCTGGGCAAAATGTCTGTTTTTCAAAGTAAAACAATACAAGTAAAGTAAAAGTCAAGTGTGTTGTGAAGCAGTTTGTTTGTGTGGTTTGCAGCAGGGAGTGTCTTATCAGTGTGACGCCACGTGGGGTGTGTTACCGTGGAGATAAGAGTCGAGGCGCTGGTCCAGGTCGGCCGAGGTTTCCACAGCAGAGCCGAAGGAGCCCAACATGAGCTAAAATCAGCTCAGTCCCCGAGGAGCTGACTTTACATTCATAAACAGACCATTAATGTGCAACAACAATAAAACAAACACGTTTGGTTCAAATAATGTCTAAAGATGTTAAATTATCATGTTTATTGCCATTTTTTTTTTTTTTTGTTTTTTTACAGTCAGGCATCTTTTAACCTTTTAGAGACTAAAATATCTGAATTTATATTATATATAATTTATATGGTACAGTGCATCCAGAAAATAATCACAGCGCTTCATTTTTTCCACATCTTATGTTACAGCCTTGTTCCAAATTGTATTAAATTCATCTTTTTCCTCAAAATTTTGCACACAATACCCCATGATGGCAATGTGAAAAAGATTTTTTTGAGATTTTTGCAAATTTATTAAGAATGGAAAACTAAGAAAGTTCTCACAGCCTTTGCCATGAAGCTCAAAATTGAGCTCAGGTGAATTCTGTTTCCATGGATCATCCTTCAGATGTTTCTACAACTTAAATGGAGTCCACCTGTGGATAATTCAGTTGGTTGAACTTGAGTTGGAAAGGCACACCTGTCTAAGGTGATCTAAGGCAGGGGTTCCCAACTCTAGTCCTTGAGGAACACCATCCTGCATGTTTTAGTTTCCAGCTAAGACACACCTGATTTTAATAAATGGGTGATTAACAGGCTTCTGCAGAATGAGAGGAAGTAATTAAACCACTGAATCAGGTGTGCTGGAGCAGGGAAACAACTAAAATATGTAGGATGGCGTTCCTCAAGGACCAGAGTTGGGAACCACTGATAAGATATAAAGTCCCACAGTTGACAGTGCATGTCAGAGCGCAAGCATGAAGTCAAAGGAATTCTCTTTAGACCTCTGAGTCAGGATTGTGTTGAGGTACAAATCTGAGGAAGGATACAGAAAAATTTTTGCTGCTGTGAATGTCGACCTCCATCATTCGTAAATGGAAGAAGTTTGGAACCACCAGGGCTCTTCCAAGAGCTGGCTGGCCATCTAAACTGAGCAATCAGGGGGAAAGGACCTTAGTCGGGGATGAGACCAAGAACCTGATGGTTACTCTGTCAGAGCTCCAATGTTTCTCTGTGGAGAGAGAACCCTTCAAGAAGGACAACCATCTCTGCAGCAATCCACCAACCAGGCCTGTATGGTAGAGTGGCCAGACAAAGATCACTCCTTAATAAAAGACACATGGCAGCTTGTCTGGAGTTTACCTAAAGGCACCTGAATGACTCTCAGATCATGAGAAACAAAATTCTCTGGTCTGATGAGACAAAGATTGAACTCTTTGGTGTTAATGCCAGGCGTCATATTTGGAAGAAACCAGGCACCGCTCATCATCAGGTCAATACCAGTCCTATACAGTGAAGCATGGTAGTGGCAGCATCATGCTATGGGGATGTTTTTCAGCAGCAGGGACTGGCAGACTAGTCAGGACAGAGGGAAAGATGAATGTAGTGATGTACAGAGATTCATCAAAATGGTGCATAATATTTTTGGGTGAAAAAAACCGCCAAATTAAACATTATTTTTGTATCTTTACAGATCTCTACAACAGTACAGAAGATTTTGCGGCTCTTATTGGTGGTAAGAATTAAATATTGTTTCGATATTTAATAAAATGTATTTTTCATGTAATTTAATGTAAATTATTTGGGTCGCATTATAGTTTTTGTATCAATTACTGATTTAAAAGCCTGCTTTTATAGTCAGTTTCTGACCAGTCATGTACGGAGTGTGAAGTAGGTCAAAATATTTAGGTTTTTATTTTTTTTTTATGCAAATGTTAAATGAAGACGCGGCTAAAGATAATGGATGGTTATTTGCTCATTTATTATAAGTATAAATTAAAGTATGATTTAAAAAAATTGAAGACAAAGTATGAAAACCAAATATTTTCTCACAGTTGGAGTTCTTTTTTTTTTTTTTTACTTTTTATGTGTAACTGACCCAATAGGTTTTGAGCTACTGAACTCTTTCAAGAAGGTTTGATTGTGTTAAGCAGTAATGTACACAAATAGATGGAAAATTTGTTAAAAACTTTGACAATGTGACCAGAAGAATGTGTGTCAGAGGGCCAAATTTTGAATTAAAATAGCTTACAACTAGTTCTTTATGTGCTTCAACAAGCTCCTCCCCTCCCTCTCTTCTGTACTTCAACAGGCTCCTCCCCTGCCTCTCTTCTGTA